TTTTTTTTTTTTTTTTTTTTTTTTTTTGACCATTTCTCGATTTATGCGTGTCATCCTTGCGCAGGGGCCATGCAAATCTTCTCTGTATCGCTCCAATCTTAACAGATGTCCCGAGGAACTTGCTCTGTGGCTGCTAATGGAAAAAAAAGAAAAAGAGTGCTATGAACTACTGACCTGAAGCAGGTCCCCCCTCCTCAGGGATTGGGGGGAGGGATGACCTGTATAGCAGGTCCCCCCTTGTAGGCGGCTACGGCCGCAAGGGATAGGCTGACTCTTTCTCTTGGATGTATGCCAGTGATAAGCAGCTGGGCTGTTGCCCCCCAGAATAGAAGGGGCCTGTGAATTAAAAAAAAAAAAAAAAAAAAAGTACTGACCTGAAAATTCCATCCGCCGTTCCTGTCTGCAGATTTGCTTCCCTATCAGGAGCTCAGAGCTGCAGTTTCATGACGGTTTCCCAAAGAGGAAAGGATGGAAAAAGAAGTAGGGAGAGTCACAGAAATGGAGAGGTCACTCAGGTGAGTGGTTTTGAGTCAGTCTTTTTTTTTTTTTTTTTTTCATCTTTCAAATTCTTTCCATTCACCTTCACTACCTACCTATCAGTACTACTAAGGCTTAATAGACAGGGGACCCCCGCGAACATAGCTTTGTTGCCTCCCTCCAGCCATTAGATGGGATGCATGTTGCCCGCCGCCCCAACCGTGGTGGCCAAGGATGGGGTGGGGCCGTCGGTGGGGGTCCGGCTAACGCAAAGACCGATCATTTTGCCAGTAGCTACGCCTCCCTTTTCATCATCCACCACCCCCAACCGAATAACAGCAGTGTCTAAGGCCAACGTTCGACACCTGTCAATATAATAAGTTGTTTATTTTCTTGAAATTTCTCCAGTTTGTGGGATCTTAGCCCTTCCCTGATATGTCATTCTTACAACAATCTTACTACTTAGCTCTTCCCTGATATGGGGATCCTACTGTATTCTACTGTATCCTACTGTATCCTACTGTATCCTACAGTACTGACTTATAGGGTCCCTATACTGTCCCTAATTTGACTAAGTAGGGTACAGTGATATAGGGACCCTATAAGTCAGGATGTAAGGGGACCAAGGAGGACTAAGTAGGGTACAGTGATATAGGGACCCTATAAGTCTGTATCCTACTTAGTCCTTCTTGGTCCCCTTACATCCTGACGTATAGGGTCCCTATATCACTGTACCCTACTTAGTCAAATTAGGGACAGTATANCTGTATCCTACTTAGTCCTTCTTGGTCCCCTTACATCCTGACGTATAGGGTCCCTATATCACTGTACCCTACTTAGTCAAATTAGGGACAGTATAGGGACCCTATAAGTCAGTACTGTATCCTACTTAGTCCTTCTTGGTCCCCTTACATCCTGACTTATCCTGCCATTCATCCTTCCTCCCCAGCTTTCTTCAGTTTTATCCTTTTTCGGTCCGTTTTGCTCCAATGCCCCCACCCCACCCCTATTACTCCCAACTCCTCCCTTCGCTTCCCACTCCTCCGGCCTCTCTCCCTATTCCCCTATCTTCTATCCTCCACTACTCTACACCATTTTCGCCTATTACGGTACATCTACCGCCGTCTATCACTGCATCCCCCGCTATTGACTTCTACTTCACGTTTCGTCCTATTTTGCTTCCGGTCTCTGTTCCAACCACCACCCCATTCGGGCTCGGTATCTGGTCATGGTGCATGGCGTAACAGGATGGGGCCGAACTGTACCTGCCCCGTCTGGGTGTCCTGAGTCAGCATTTGTGGGTACTGCCCCCATCTCCTCCAGAAACCCTTCTCCTTTTCCTCCCCCGCATAATACGCATATCTGCAGTGGCGGAAGTCCGCTCATGTTCTGTAGCACCTTTTCCTGGTATGCCCGCAATGGCGGAGCCTTTCCTTGCCTACACCTCTTGTTCCTTATGGTCCACAAGGCCCAGAGTACTGCTGGTCTGACATCTCTGCTATCACCATGCCCTCAAGCCCTGGTCTGGCAACCTTTTTTTTTTTTTTTTTTTTTTTTTTAAGGCTCCAATCTATTGGTGGGGATCTGCACCTGCTGGAAACCGGGTCCAACGTCCCTTATAGCGTTCCCAAAAGAAAAGCTGTGCATCCGTCTCGGTGACGTCTAGCGGCGATTTGCCTGCAATTTCTTGTGCTCACCATACTCAAAATGCTTGAACCTCCGGGCGTCGTATGAAGACGCGGGGGAGTGTTTCCTCCTGCCCGCACCCTGCAGCGCATGACCGATCCTTGTGCTAGCTTTTAGCGGCTAGTCATTGAGCCGTCGGTATTGCTCAACAGGCCCACCTGGTTCTGGTCTGGCAGGGCTGCCATTATAGCACATTGCTCGTTCCATCTCCGCCTCGTCCATCTGTTGAAGTATACATCCGGGAGCCAGTTCCTCTTAGCCCACCTGTTCTTCAACTCCCCACAAATATCCACTGGCTCCAGCAGCGAGTTGTGGATGTTTAATGTGGTCACTTCTCGGAGCCGTGTGGCCTTATTATGCATCCCTTGGGGCGCCCACTCCCACGCCCTCGGGTCCCATGGCAAGTCCCGCAGTCTGTATGGAAGCCGACATGGCATATACTGGTCTTCTCCCTTCTTACCTCCTTTGCACACCGCCACTGTTTCCACCGCACCTCTTGCAAACCTTCTCGGACCTTTTTCTCCCCTGCACTCTTGTGTCCTCTAGCTGTTTTCCCAGTCCCTGATACCCCGACCCCTGTTAACAATCTCCAGCTTACCCCCCCGGCATGGCCTGCTCCACCCTCTATACTTTATCCGGTCTCGCCTCTCCTTTGATCTTCACCCATTCCCCCACTGCTGTTTCATCCTTTTTTAACATCTCGATCCATTTCGAGGGGATAGCCTCCCTCAGTTGTCTCACCCTTTGCATCTTCCTCATTCGTCCGTGCAGGGCCTCCTCCATTTCACTGTCTGATCGCCAGTCCTTCCGCTCCTCGTCCCACAAGTGGCCCACCTTATAGATTCCTCCCTCAGCCCATTTCCAGCCGTAGGCCCCACAGGGCCCCTGCCACGGGAAGGGTTTGCCTGTGTCATCGCGTATGAAACGGTTGTCGAACTGCAATTGGTTGACGACCACGTCTGCAGTTTTCGGTAGCCTGTTCCTCAATTTGATTTCCTTCCAGAGTGCCAATTTCACAGTCCATACCGTCTCCCTGCGGATGTGACCCATCGCCGAGCTACTAAGCAAACACAAGTCCACCGTTTCTCGCGGTACCTGTCGCGGGTCCAGCAGACCTAGTTCCCCAAATCGTCTTGGCTGGATCAACTTGTTCCACGGTACCCTGCAGATGGAGTCGTCCGCCTTGCATTGTTGGACCATAGATGCGCATGAACAGCCTTCTTGATGTACCTGAATGTGAGCCTCCCTGGCATATGCACAGCGCCTGCTTACCATAGTGTGGCCAAGACTGAGTTTTTGATAATCAGGGCGCCTGCATATGCACAGCGCCTTCTTGATGTACCTGAATTTGAGCCTCCCGGGCACAGAGCCTCCCTGGCATATGCACAGCGCCTGCAAACCATGCTTCCTCTCGCACTCCACGCTTTAAGTCCAGCCACTGCTGCCGTGGTTCGAAACGCCATCTGCTCCACTCCTCCGTAGCTCGGTGTAAGGTTTGCCCCCAAGAAGGTCATCCTTTCTCCTTCTGTCACAGTTGGGATGTCCCATCCTTCCAGGGGTTCCACCTCCGGCGGGAGGATGGCCTGCGACTTTTGCCACTTGACGCGTGCTCCCCAGTATTTGCAGAAAGTCACAAGGTCTTTTCTTCAAAATCCCCGACTTGTGTGGTAGGAAGCATCACTGCTCCCATATCGTCTGCGAAGGCCGTGGTCTGCAGCTTGGCTGTCCGACCAACCTTCAGGCTTACCAATCTGTCATCCGCCCTCAAAATTTTGTGCATCGATTCGATGTAGATAACGTAGAGGGCCGGGGAGAGCGGGCACCCCTGCCTAACCGATCGAGTGATTTCGAGCTTGTCCGACCTTACCCCATTGACTTGCAACACCGTCGTCATGCCTCTGAGCAGGATCCTGACCCAACTGCGGAATATCCCCCCCATTCCTCTGCATGCCATTCCCTTCAGCAGGAATTCCCATCGAACCTGGTCATATACATTCTCAAGGTCTATGGAGACGAAGACCGTGGCCTGGCCTGTACACTGGTCCTCTTCTAGAATCTGCTGCGCCAGGAGGACGTTCGATAGGATCTGTCGACCCGCCATGAAGCCTGTGGAGTTTGGTCGATGATTCGTGGCAGGACGTCCCTCAGGCGAGTTGCCAGCACCTTGGCCAATATCTTATATACTGCGTTCAGGATGGATATCGGCCTCCAGTTGCGCACATCTTCCTTCACCCGCTTCTTGTAGAGCAGCACCACATATGCATTTGCAAACCCCTCCGGGAAGTATCCTTGTCTCGGTGTTTCGTTGTATGCCGTCGTGAGCAGGACTACAAAGAAGTTCCTGAAGTTTTTGTACAGTTCCACCGGCATTCCATCCAGTCCAGGCGCCTTGAGTCTGGGAAGTGCGGCTATCGCTCTCTCTACCTCGTCTTCCCCAATATCTTCCTTTAATCTGCATGTACTTTCCAGATTCAGCCTCCTCTGAATATGCTTCCAGATCGCCTGTTCCGGTTCCTTGGCCATGTTCGCTGGCGTCCACTTCTCTTCTTCCATCAGCAGCTGACTGCAGAACACCGTAACATTTCAACCAAGTTACCATCCTGATTTACTATTCCAACCAAGTTACCATACTGATTTACATTGTATATCTAAAACAAAACAGACTAGCATGTTAAAAGCTAAAACTCAAAATGTAATAACAGATTGATTGTTTCGAGGCTTTTGACTATTTAGGGTCATTCGAGGCTTTTGACTATTTAGGGTCATCCATCGTCACCGGTGTGCAATGACATATCTCGCAATGAGGCTTTGCCACAAGGTTAGTTCTGCAATTGACTGGGGTGCAAGTTAGGGGGCATCAAGTTTCGGGTTGCGATGGCATATCTCGCAATGAGGGTTTTTGCCACAAGGGTAGTTCTGCAATTAACCGAAAGTTAGATATCAGACATATTCTGAGTCATCTAAGCATTGCACTTCCAGGCAGACACAGCATAGCATGACAATCGATTCGGTGACTGCTTGCTATTTTAAGTCGGTCTAGGCAGTGGGAAGCCAACCGGCGGGCGTGCTGAGGACTGATCCTTAACCTTTCTGGCAAGCCATTTAGCGTGTGCTGTCATGCATGTTCACTATACACACAACTCCACAAAAAAGGCATTACTGTGTGTATGAAAGTAAGGAAGATCAGTTTACGAGTAAACCTGTAGGCTATAGCTCAGTTGGTACACCCATGGGATGTTGAAATACAGACCCGAGTTCAAATCACCTCAGATGAGTAGATAACTGGGGCTGGTCAGCTTCAATATGACATCTCAACGCCATCGCCCCTTTTAAAAGTAATGCTGAGGTGAAGGGCACCCTTGGATGATGAAAATAGACTTGAAAGACTCAAGTGTCTGTCCAAACAATCTTTATTGTTGTGTCAACAGCATAGTGCTCTCATTCTGACAGCAAATGACAAAAACAGGAAGAACGCTTCAAACTTGTGAAACCACAAGTACACGGCCCCAGCCTTGCAGTCCCGAAACTTGTCGCCACAAGAAAATGAGGCCGAAACGTCAAACGCTGGGGCCACCGTTGATAAATTCGATCGGCGGTCGCGTTTTCGTTTCGCACCTCCAGAAAATTTGAGGTGTCAGGCCTGCGGCCCAGGTGCCCATGGACTGGTGCTTTAAGCTGCCAGTTCACCAGAAGCAGAGTACTGCTCCTACCAGTTCGCACAGTAAGAGCATTTCGATTCGGGCCCGGGCCGCGGGCCTGGGCCGCAGAGTAGCAAAAGCTGCAAGCTGCTCCTACCAGTTTACGCAGTAAGAGCATTTCGATTCGGGCCTGGGCCGCAGAGTAGCGAAAGCGGCAAGCTGCTCCTACCCGTTTACGCAGTAAGAGCATTTCGATTCGGGGTAGCAAAAGCGGCAAGCTGCTCCTTCCTGTTTACGCAGTAAGAGCATTTCGATTCGGGCCTGGGCCGCAGAGTAGCAAAAGCGGCAAGCCACTTCGAAAGGGCGCACTTGCCCAGTAGCGAAAATGGCAGGCCACTGCGAAGGGGCGCAGTTGCCAGCTCTTGAGACTTGGAAAATAGCGAAAGTGGCAGGCCGCCTCAAAAGGGCGCAGCTGTCAACGTAGGCTTGTGTGAACTGGTGGTTTAAACCACCAGTACTTGGCCCAGCTATCGGCCGTCGAAAAAAATTGAGTACACACGTTTCTAGTCGGATGAATTTGGGCGCTCCTGTAGTGGCCCGTGCGTTTCCTAAAATTGTGGCTTGTTAATGGGCACAACTTTAGGAAGTACTGGTTGTTTAAAACCAAACAAAAAAAAATCCCGTGTTGCGTTGTTAAGCAATAATAGGTGTGATGTGGTCACTTTTTGTATGCTTGCTGGTGGATGCTCTCAGGAAGCACTTGTTGGTTCAACTGAGAAGTTGGACTCTCAACCAGACACAGGTAACAATGGAGGATTAGGTTCAGCCAAGGCGGAAGCGAGAGAGATGGAACCGAAAGGCGCTTGTGGTACGAACAGCGGTTCCTCAAGAGGCACAAAGGAACAACTAAAAGGTCCCAGCTGCTCGGCAATGCCGGATGGAAAAAACGTGCAAGAGGTGGGGGATTGCAAAGAACGATCGAGCATACTCTTTGACGGTGTCTGCTCAGACGGAAAGGAAAGTGCAAGTCAACGAAACTCTCACTTGCAGTTAAGTATTTGCAAAAGATTACTTGATCTGTTGAGCATACTTAAGTACTTCCATCATTCCCCCCCCTCCCCCCCCCAAAAAAAAAAGAAAAAAGTAGTACTTCAACGCTTCAAGCATTCCAATGTGAAAGCTCTTTGCAGCCATTGAACCTTCAAAGCCTGAAACTTGAAGCAATCCATTTTTGGCACAGGGCCTGGCTGCAATACCACTGCTCTCCAAATGTGCACAATGTGACTGAATCGACTGCTAGAACATGGAAAGATACATTGCTATCTTTTTTCAAGTTTTTTGTCTTTTGTGCATGTGGAGAGAAGTGCAGCGAGGCCCACAGAATTTTGGTTGTTGCATAAAGAAACTGGCTTGTATTACCGTCATAGAGAACTGGCCGTTGAACTGCAGGCAGAGAGGGAAACGAGGACAACGAAAAATGAGGGGCTGTGACAGAATGTTCGTCTGACGTCGGACTTTTTCACCGTCTGACTCGTCAGGAGGCTGAACCTTATCTGTGTGGCCAGATCAAGGAGGACCCCTGGTATGCCGTCGGACTTAGAACGAGTGATATACTTCCATGCTATTTGCTGGTATAAAGTGTTCCCTGTTACTCGGCTGTTAGGGATCCCCACCCACAGGTACACCACAGCCCTTGTCTTCGGAATGGTCGTGTGGAATCCTTTCGAAGAAAGTCATATCATATCAATGTGACAGCGTACCACGTCATGGATAAAACCGATGCATGGAGGATGAGTGCTCGCCCTCCTTAAAAGGGAGGTGTGCGGCTAACACACCCTAGCCAGCAACCAGGTTGTTTGGGATCTTTTTTTTTTTTTTTTTTTTTTTTAAAAGGACATGCTCCAGGCAATTCGTGGGGAGCGGCACATGCTGGGAACCGGGCCCAGCGTCCCTTTCAAGAACATATTGAGAAATTTATGCAGAAAGACTTTGAGGTACCTGGCCACTACCCGGCTTCGGCTAAGAAGGATAGCTATGCGATCTACACAAGAGCATTGAAAATTTGAAATTCTCAAACCCCAAACCATTGATCAAAGGAGCATTCAGACGGAAAACCATGTTTGGGATCCTCAGAGACTTTTACACATTGTATCTCACTTGTTTCAGTGATGCGACGGAAAGAAAGAAAGCGCAAGCCACTCACTTTGCGTCTACTTTCAATGTTAATTGGCTTGCTGGATTCATCAGATGCTGACATTGCTAAGGCTTTTTCTTTTTCGTATGTCCGGTCAGCAGCAGTTGTTAAGCAGCGCGGTCTGATCTTTTTTTTTCTTCTTCTTTTTTTTGCCTGCTGGTCGCTCCATCTATTGCTCCGCATGCCCATTCTGTTAGTCATTGCAATTAAGAGTGTTGCCGCTGAGGATGGATATCTACCTCCACTGTTTACTCTTATGCCTACCGTCTTCCCCCGAATAGAACGCCCAGTCATTGTAGCTGTATTTGGTGCAACTTTCAGTCTAGATACAGCAAAACAAAAATGACCAGGCATTCTTTCCATGTGCAGACGGCAGGAATCCGATTGCTTCTTCATGTGGTTATGTAACCAGATCGATCCATCAGCCTACTGGTGTCTTGGACAAATTAACCCTCATTTAAGAGGCTAATTGGAAAGCCTGCATGCCTCTTGTCTGTGCTCTTTAATGGACCGATCCAAGCCCTAAATATATACAGCCTTCATTTCAGAGGGTAATTGGAAAGCCTGCATGGCTCTTGTCAAGTTGTCAGTGATTATCGAGGAAGCTGGAATTCGTTTACTCTTTTTTTTAAACTACTTACATGATATATCTTATTCTGCTCATCTGATTGTATGTGGATTCTTCGAACCTGGGTCTTTAATCCAACAGTCCATCTGGTGTACCGACTAAGCCGTCTTCACCCGAATAAAACGTCCGCTCATTATCGCTGCATCTGGACTGAAAGTTGTGCCAAATGCATGACCGGGCGTTCTATTCACAGTGAAGACGGTAGGCCCATTGGTATTATAGCAGGGTACTCTTTGTATGTGGCATACTGATACCACACGGGCCCCAGTTAGGGCCCGGTTCTTTAGTAGTCACGGGTTAGGCCTAGGTACCGGGTCACGACGGTCCCAGCTAGGTCCAGGTAGGCCTAGGAACCGTCGGTTCAGACTAGAGTCCGGGAGGCCTAGTTTAGACCCCACCAGAACCAACGGCTAGTTCGACTAGGCCAGGTACCGGTCCATCGGTAGGACCGGCCGGCGGCGCAATTTAGGCGCCACTTTACTTTCAGATTTCGGAATCGGATCTGAACCGTTGGGGCTGATCAACGGTCCAGACCCGAAGGCACCAGTAGTACTGAGGCCGGCCCGGCACTATATCAGCTGGGTGCCAGCCTCGGTAAGGAGGTTAGTCTACAGGTTAGCGCAGTGTTTCGGCGTCAGCATGAGCAGAGCGGCGGAGAGAATTAGCGCAGCAGCGAGGAGGAATAGCGCAGCAGCGGAGTAGCGCCAGCCCTCTGGCCCAGCGCCCAGCCCTGCAGCGCCATAGCTGCATCGCCAGGTACCAGGGAGAAAGGCTTCGCCTTCCGTCCCTCTTCTTCCTCCTCTCTCTCTCTCTCTCTCTCTCTCTCTCTCTCTCTCTCTCTCTCTCTCTCTCNCTCTCCCCCCCCTCCTACCCTCCAAGTCGAAGTCTACTCATTGGGTTACTCCTCCTGGACTACTACAAGTATGAAGGATGGTTACGAGTTCTTATGATATTGGAGATAACAACATTGAGACTTCGGTTGAGGACTACTTTGGGATCTGACTTCATCTACTTCTGGAGATGTATCTTGGCATTGTGAGATCGATATCTGAGACACTGTGAGACTCTGGATTCCCTCTCCCCCCTTCGTCTCTCCTCCCCTCCATTCGTCTGTGTATGAGATCAGCCCCTGGCCCGTTCTTCCATGTCCAAGGCCCGGGCTTTCAAACCACCGATGTATGTTTGTAAGGGATCTGTTGCGGTCTGAGTCAATCCATGTGTATCAAGTATTCCGCTGTAATTGTACTTACTCTGTATTATCTGGTCGGTTCTGGGGATCTGCGCCATACTTATGACTGTGTTTCACGAGTATGCAACATTGTACCTATCTCTGCATCTATAAAATTGCCCCTTGCAGAGATTCAGATAGCTTGTCTAACGCAACCAAAAAATGGAGAAACAAAACAACAACAACAAAAAAAAAATCCTCTTTTTTTTTTTTTTTTTTTTAAACCCGGGGGTTGTAGCTTTCTCTTATACACATCTAGATGTGTATAAGAGACAGCCCCCCCCCCTCTACCCTCCAAGTCTAAGTCTACTTATTGGGTTACTCCTCCTGGACTACTACAAGTATGAAGGATGGTTTCGAGTTCTGATGATACTGTAGATGACAACATTGAGACTTCGGTTGAGGACTACTTTCGGATCTGACTTCATCTACTTCTGGAGATGTATCTTGGCATTGTGAGATCGATATCTGAGACACTGTGAGACTCTGTATGCATGACATTTCGGATGTTCGCTACTTATGACATTTCGAGATACTATTTTTGGAGAGTTGACGTCATCTTCCCTCTCCTCCCTTCGTCTGTCCTCCCCTCCATTCGTCTGTGTATGAGATCAGCCCCTGGCCCGTTCTTCAATGTCCAAGGCCAGGGCTTTCACACCACCGATGTATGTTTGTGAGGGATCTGTTGCGGTCTGAGTTGGGTCTGAGTCAATCCATGTGTATCAAGTCTTCCGCTGTAATTGTACTTACTCTGTATTATCTGGTCGGTTCTGGGGACCTGCGCCGTACTTATGACTGTGTTTCACGAGTATGCAACAGTTTGGTATCGGAGCAGACCAGCATTGGATGACTCGTCATCAATCGATCGATTGATGGATCAAGCTGCTCAACTAGCGCTTGATCAACGAATTGATTGATTGATTGATTGTTTTCACCTGCACTCTGTTATCATTATTCGCAAGTTGCAAAAAAAAAAAATAGTTACTTCTTTTCGTTGCTGATCAATTCAGTTTTGACCTATTTTTAGGTTACGGCCATCTCCGATTTTGCGTAATCAGGGTAATTTGCGAAAACGCGATTAACCCTAATTAGTGCAGATTAGGGTTAGGACTAGCCTAAATCTAGGCCTAACGACCTAATTCTCCAACGAGTAGTAGCGCCAGCCAGGCACCACGCCTAATTAGGGCAGATCGGGCCTGAGCACGGCCACATTCGAAATGCAACTTCACGGACTTTCACTTTTTGCTCATTGCATCTTTTTGCGCTCAAAGCCTAAATCTTTGCAGCAAATTGTGTATCTTCCTACTACCATTGATCTACTACTTACCGCGTGACCTCGTAATGATGCTGAATTCTCCCGATTAAATTTCATGAATTTTTTTAATTAAGCATTCTGATTAAATGTTTAATCTTAATTGAACTTTATTGAAGTTTATTCGATTTTATTTTTGCAAATTTAAGTACTCTTTAATTAAATATATTTAATTTTTGCCAAAATTAAATTTTTATTTAATTAACTTTTATTTTCCCGATTAAAATTTACTTAATTAAATAATTAAATATTTAATATTAAAATTTTCAAAATTCAATTTTTTTTCGTGGGGGAAATTTTTTTCTCTTGATTAGAGTCAAGTCCGAGGTCAGGGCGGAAAGGGACTGTCTGAGCATTTGCTTGCCTCCCTCCCTTCTTCCCACCCCTACCCTCTCTCCCCTCCTCTCGGTTATACGGACATCAGCCTCCGGCCAAGTCAGCATTGTGCAATCTATGCTCGATGCGCCGCAGTCAACGACTTGCTGAGCGTGGATCCAAGGGAGCTAAGCCCCAACAGGGACTCAAGACACCTCGGATCCCGCGGAGACAACGCACGACCATGGCCGATGCCGCCGACGCCAATACGCAGGACAGCCCCAAGAGGCCGGTTACTCCTCCCATGCCAGTTCACCAGGCAGATGAAACGCAACTAGCGTTTCTCGAACGTCTCCAACTATACACGGAGAC